AATATGAAATATATCTCCTTTGTCCTCTCCCGGAACCCTGTCGTTTCCCTACGTAGAACTAGTCATGACTATAAGTAAAGAATTGTTTTTGATTCTGTGTTTAATGCCTGTCTGTCCCACCAAGACAGACACTGTGTTGCTTGCCACTTACACCAGCTCCTTAGCACAACCTTGCACACGGGAGCCATTCAGTGTGTGTTGCTGAAAGAGTCAGCCAGCCACTGCCACGGGGCGCAAAAGGCACCAGAAAGGGGAAGGCAGAAGGTCAGGGATATGGGCCCCTGCTGTGCCCAGGCCAGCTCTGAACCTGCAGGGTGACCACAGAGCCCCTGTGCTGACTGCCCACGCATGCACCAATAGGCACGCCTGGTTAACTGTGTCCACGTGTTTCCCCTTGGCCTCTCACAGGTCCCCACCAAGCCATTTGGGTAAGATCACAGCCCCTAGGAAGACATACATTAGTGCCAGCCACTGAGCAGCAGAGAGCCAGGGAGGGGTGGGGGAGAAGAGGGCACAGGGAACCACCTGCCCCAGGAGATGTCAGCAAGGAATGAGATGTGTGCAGTCACCCTGCAGGGCTGGCTGTCTCGTGTACTTCAGTCTCATATGTAATTTTTAAAAAATGGAATAATGGTTCATATTGCCCAAGCTTGAGAAGACGAAGTCATTGTACACGTAGTGAAGCACTTAGAGCCATACTCAGTACAGAGAGCTCGGAGGGAGCTCCCCCCACTGGAGTAAGGGACCTCCCTGCCACGCCGTGCACACACAGGAGTGAAGAGAAGGGAGCCCAGTGCGGCAGGGAGAGGCCTCACAAGACTAGGAAGCTGAAAGCCCGCTCTTCCCAGCCGTGGGAGCATGGGGCAAGCCCTACGCGGGGCCTTAGTTTTGTCTTCTGTAAAATGGGGAGATGATACACCAGAAAAGACCACCCGGGAATGTGAGGTGCTCTTTACCTTAAAGACGACCGATGAGGAGAGAAGACTCCGGGCCGCCCTGGGTGGAGGCTGCAGGATGGATTTGGTAAACTGCCCACACTCAGCTCTCCATGAGGATTCCAGGGCAGCACAGAAGGCTGGAAAGTGGGGATTAGGAGTGCTGGTAGATGCTGCAAAAGAAGAGAAGCAACAGGGCAGAGAGTGAGAGAAGGGGAGGGAAAAAAGAGGGCACGGTGCGGGCAGAAGCTTATGCTCAGGGAGTGAAGAGGAGGCTCATGCTGGAGACGGCCAAGGCTGATGGGTGCTTCTGGGGACTCTGGAATGAGCAGGGCTTATGGCAGACAGCACAGTCCCACCTTCAACCACCTTCCCCAGGATGACACAGGCCCTATCAGAAAGGCAAACAGTGACCAGTGATTCCCCCGGAGGACGGCGGGGACGAAGCCACCAGCCAGCCGGAAGTGCTGCTGTGGTCGTCTGCCCCCTGCCGTTGGGAGCATCTGCTTCAGAGATGGCCGGTGCCTCTGGGTCCCTGTCCTGAGAGGCCACCTGGTCCAACCCCCAACTCTCCAGTGAGGAAGTGGCCTCCTCAGGCAGGAGGGTAGAGTGTCCCACCACTCAGCAGAGCTTCCTCCCTTCCAGCGGGGGCTTTCACAGCCAGAAAATGTCTTTTTTTCCCCCAGGGTCTGGGAAACCCAGAATAGCACCTGTTCATGAAACACAGACACCCTGTGGTGGTAAATGCAGGGAGGGGAGGAAGGCAGGATGGCCAGCACACAGCCAGGGGAAGAACTAAATCTGTTCATGCCTCCATCCACCCCTCCCTCACCACCTGCACTGCAAAAGCAGCCGATATCCAGGTGGGGACACATGCCCCTAAGGGCTGCTGCCCGGTGGCCTGTGAGTTGCTGGATTCACACTTTAAAAGCCGCAACGAGGCCTACCCTTGCACTCAGCTCAGCCTTTGGTTTCACAATTTAGGAACAACCTGTAGATCTTGCAGAGAATGCTGATTCCCAAGCCTTGCCCCCAAATATCCTAATTTGCTGGGTCTGGGGTGGTGTCCAGCAAGCTGCATGTTAACTCTTATGACTCTGCTGTGGGGTCCTGAGAACACACACTGGAAGATGTTGGATGAGAGGCCCCTCCAGCTCCACAGCCCACGTGACCGCCCCTGCAACCCTCCCTGCTTTGAGGCCCACGTGGGGCGTATTCAACTCCCACTATGTGGGCCGACCTTTCAACCTGGCTGCTTCTCCCATCCCAGTCCTTGGCTCTCAGGCTCTCGGCTCACTACTGGGGCATTTAGCAGCAGCCCTGAGCGATTGAGCAGCTGCTTGTCACCTGAGTGAAGGGCTGGAAACTAGGCCATCGTGCTTGGCTGGGCAGATCCCACCCTCACCAGCTGCTCCCACCGCCTCCTACGGAAGCCTGCCCCCACGGTGCCCTGGGCCTCCCGGCACCCCCACCGTTGCAGGGTGAGACCTGGTCCACAGCTCTGGGGCAGAAGGCACTCAGAGAGAGGCTTTTGGAGGAACGTGGATGTGGGAGGCCGGGTGCCAGGACCTCAGGGTTCAGAAACAGGGAAGGGGCGGGGCACATGACAGATGGGGGCAAGTCCTGGGGAGCAGCAGGATGCCACTCAGAGAGACCAAGGGCCTCTTCCTTGGCCTCAAAAGAGTCAGCACCCTGGGCTGAGAGGGTGGGATGTGGTGGCTCCACGCCGCCCCCACCAGTCCGTGGCGCACCACATCTTCATCTCTACCAGTCTTTTTCTGTCTTTTCCTCTTCCCCTCCTGTCCCTTTCTCTCCTCGTGTCTGTCTGTCTGTCCCCCTTCCTCCTTCTGTCTCTGTTTTTCACTTGCTCTTTGTCTCACTTTCCGGTCTTGCTCCCTTTCTGGGATCTCTCTCCTGCCTTTTCCTCCTTGCCTGTCCCTCTCTCTCCTTTCTCTCTCTCTCTGTCTAATTAGACTTTCCTTGACCTTCACTGCCCCACTCCATCTCTCTGGCCCAAACACTCTGACTCCCTTGATGCATGACCACACTGGTTCACCTCCTCCAGGCTCTGTCTCTGTACCCATCGGACCGCAGCCTCTTGGTCACCAGCCCTGGACAGTGTCACTGTGTGGCTCCGTTGTGCCCAGTTGCTGACTCCTGATGGGCTGGGCTATGGGAACACACGGATGTGGCTGCATAGGGCCTTTGGTGCTCACATACAGCTGCAGAGGGTACAGGGTGGAGGTGAGGAGGGTCACTGGGAAATCAGAGTAGCCTCTCACCTAGCTGGCCCTGGAGGCCCCTGCTCCCCAGCCGGCACCTCAACCTCAAATGCCCTGTTCCTGGTGCTGCCGATTCTCACCTTTGGGCAAGATGCTGGCCTCCACCCCTAGCCCCACCCTCACCTGCCCACCGTCCCGGCCAGCAAGCCTGAGAGGAGCGGGCTTTGACCAAGCCAAGGACAACTCACAGCCTGAAGATGGCCATGGTCCCTGCCTTTGGGAGGGAGGGGAAAGGAAAGAGAAGGAGAGACTCCCAGCTCCCTCTTGGCACCCCCTCCCTTTCTAAGAGCCTTCGGTGATGCACTTTCCTCCTTGTTCTCCCCAGAAAACTGTGGGAGAGGCAGAATCCACGGACCACCAGGTCCTGACCACCACCACTCTTGCGTCTCCCCTTGTTTTCTCCTAAAAACTGACAGCAGAGTTGGGGGTCTCCAAGTCTTCTGGGCAGTGGGCACAGAATGGAAGCTGAGGTCATGGAGGAAGTGGGTCCTGCTCAGAGCTCATGTCACCATCACATGGCCACTCAGCAGGCGTTTTCTGTGCCCTGATGTGCTGGGCAGGCAGGCCAGAGGACCCTGAGAGCAGAGAGGGATTGCTTGCCAGCAGTGGGCAGTGTCGGGGCAGTGTGCAGGGGCTGTGCCATAGCCGGTAGGAGGAGACTGGGGTGAGTGGGTGTAGAGTGGGCAAACGTCAGCTCCAAGAGCCCATCTAACACGCTTGGTCTGCTTCTCCCAAAGGGAAAGCAATGCCCAGGGGACATTGGGTCCCCTGCTTTGCCAGGCCTGGACTCCTGCCTCGCTGCACATGGCCCTGGGGACAGAGCACCCCAAAGGAGAGTGAGGCAGGATGAGGGGGCTCGGAGGGTTCGGCCTCAGACCCTGCAGTGCAGAGTCCCCTGGATCGGGCTAGACCAGAGGAAGGCGTCTGCTTAGCTGGGAGAACTGGCATGTGACCGCCCACACACACACACACACACACACTGAAGCTCGGGATGTTCAGAGGCAAACCCCCCAGGGTTGGAGGCAGCATTTCAGAGGTAGCAAGGCCCTTGGGGAGCAGGTACTCCAGCCTCCTCCCTTTTCAGAAGGGCACACGGAGGCCCCAGGAGTGAGTGGGCGAGCCAGCCACACCAAGTTCGCAGGAGGGCCAGGGCCAGAATCTGGCCTACGTGTCACGCTGTCCCTCACATTAAACGTATTTGTCATTTACTCTTAAGAGGCCACGCCTCCCACCACAGCCTCCCCTGAGGGCTGGGGCAGTGGGAAGGAGCCGGGCTGCAGAAAGCCCCAGGGGCTTGAGGGGCTCTGCTCCTTACTGCTCAGCCTATAGCAGAAGGGACCCAAGGGAGGACTCAGCCACCTCCAGACCCAAATGAGAAAGTGAAATTTAAACCTGGGAGAAACACAGGCTCCTAGCAGTTCTCTGAAATAACAGAATAAATGTGTTTACTGTATTATTTATGTTGAAAGCTTTGCTTGGGATAATCTGAGGTTAAGAAGGAAGGAATTGGGATTTGGAGTCGGAAGATCCAAGTTCAGCCTCCCTCCACCCCTGTGTCCTGGGCCACCAAAGCCTCTCCTGGCCTCAGGGTTTGGGCTCTGAAAGGGCTACTGTGGGAGATGGGAGGAGATGGTCCTCTTAGGGCATTAAAGGGAGAACCCCGGGGGTGAGTAGCCTGAGGGGCCCTGCACCCGTCCTGGCTGGGAACGGAGGCCAGCGGGAATGGGTGTTGGAGGGTGCTTAGGGGGCCGCCTGACCTCACACCCTCCCTGCCTGCCCTCAGCTGCGTGGTGGACGAGATGGACTTCTCCAGCATGGAGCTGGACGAGGCCCTGCGCAAGTTCCAGGCACACATCCGTGTGCAAGGAGAGGCCCAGAAGGTGGAGCGGCTCATCGAGGCCTTCAGGTAAGGCCACTTCCCAGCTCCACTCCCCAACAGACACCAGGCTGGGGAAGCCGGGCCGCTGTGAGCCTGGGAGACAGGAGATGCTATCAGGAGGGTTGGACATTGGGCCAGAAACACCCCTTCTGGTGTGGGCAGGATAGGCTGGGGAGAAAGAAGTGAAGGAAAGAAAAGGGACCGACCCCTTGAGCTCCCCAGGCTAGAAAGGTGGGGCATTTGGGGGTGTGGGGAAGAAGACCAGGGTATGGGACAGAAGGTGGTCTCCCTGGACCTAAAGCCTCTGGGGAGTTGGGATACCCCCTGCACACCCCCTCCTTTGTTGGGCCTGGGGGAGGGTGAGCGGGGGCTCAGTGTCCGCTCTGCATCTGACCCGCCCACAGCCAGCGCTACTGCATGTGCAATCCCGAAGTGGTGCAGCAGTTCCACAACCCCGACACCATCTTCATCCTCGCCTTCGCCATCATCCTCCTCAACACCGACATGTATAGCCCCAACATCAAGCCTGACCGGAAGATGACGCTGGAGGACTTCATCCGAAACCTTCGAGGTAAGGAGGTGGGCACTGGGGCAGCAGGGGCAAGACCATGGCTCAGGCCTGGTCTGTGCAGCGTGCATTCTGTGAGTCTGAGCCCCTATCACAGATCGTCACCTGCTCTCTGGGCCTGGTCACCCATAGCAAGCTGGGAACATTACTTGTGTGCCAGGCGGCTGGGGCGTTTCCAAGAGCCACCGCCACTGCAGAGCAGCAAGCACCCTTGGCCAGTGCCTCTTGCCCTCCATGGAACGTGGTTGGCCTCTAGGCCCATGACACTAGAGCTGCTGGCTCAAGAGGTGCCAGCCCTTCCCCTCCACAACTTATGAGGAAGGAGCCAGGAACAGGGCCTTCGGGTCCTGGGTCCATTCAAGTCAGCCTTGCAGATAACTTTATGGCACCAGCTGGCAAGTCCTCTCATCGACGCAGTGCGGTCTGGCAGGGAGCAAACCAGGACTGGCAGACTGTGATGTGTGCTCAATTGATTTTTTTTTTTTTTAGCCTTTAAAAGAATCAAAGTTATATATCCACATAATAAAGTCAAATAATCCTACAAGGCTTATCACAGAAAAAAAATTAGTCCCTGCCCCTCTCACCACTCACCTTCTCCAGAGGCAACCACTTTTGACATTTTTAGCTATTTGTGTTTCTTCTGTATCGATAAACCGCATGCTTATGCTTCTCTGTTTTTTTCTATCCCTTTTCTTAACTGGCATAAAGCCCAGACTGTGAGTGTGTGCGCCTCAAATTTGACGAATGTGTATGTTCACGTGCATTTATGCCATCACACCCAGATCCTGATCTGGATCATTTTCACCTGCCCAGAATGTTATCTCCTGTCCCATCCTAGTCAATACCTTTGCCCAAGAGTAACAACTGTTCTGCGTTTTATCACCATTGACAAGTCCTGCCAGTCCTTGAACTTCATCTAAATAGGGCTATACAGTATTTATACTTTGGTATCTCATCTCTTTTATACACTGCTCCTTGTTAATTATTACTTCTCTCATCCAGGCTGGAGTGCAGTGGTGCAATCTCAGCTCACTGCAACCTCCACCTCCCAGGTTCAAGCAATTATTGTCCCTCAGCCTCCCAAGTAGCTTGGATTACAGGCTTGCACCACCACACCCAGCTAATTTTTATATTTTTAGAACAGACAAGGTTTCACCATGTTGACCAGGCTTTTTTTGAACTCCCTACCTCAGGTGATCCACCTGCCTCAGCCTCCCAAAGTGCTGGGATAACAGACATGAGCCACCACGCCTGGCCCTTGTTAATTATTTTTGTTTTAAGCATTATCTACTAATTCCCCATTATAGAATGTAAGGATTTAGCCCTCTTTCATCCACCTTCCCCGACCCATCCCACTCACGTCAGCGGTCATGTTGTTAAGGTTCTGCACACACACTCCAAAACTGAGTCTGCAAGTGCAGAATGATTGCAACTCCCTCCTATCTCTACTTTCCTCGGAGTTAATGCTTCTCTTTCCATTTGCTTAACTCTCTGAGGACCTCCCCTGATTCAGCCCCAGCTTCCCACCCTACGTGTCAAGCTCCTCTCCATGCATCCAGACCTGGGAGGTGGTGTAGGAGCGTCATCTTCGGGAGCCTCTGGTCCTGCTACAGTCTGGACAGTGGCCGGGCCAGGGCACAGCCGGCATCCTGGGCCCTCCTTCCCTTGCTCTCATGGTAGACTCCTGGTTCCTGCATGTCAGAGCTTCCTCATTTTTACTTTACTTCCAGAGAAAAGGCCATTTTTGAGAACTTGCATTTTTGAATGTATCTTTTTCTGTCTTTGACCTTGGTTGGGAGTTTGGCTGGGGATAGAATTCCAGCCTCAAAACACGCCAGTCGGGATTTCAAAGGCATTGCTCCATTGTCTTTTAGCTGCCAGTGCTACTCTGCCCTCCCAGCTGCTGGCCTTTTGTCTGTTACTCTTTCTCTCTCTCTGAAAGCTTGCAGGTTCTTCTGTCTGCCCTTTGTGTTCTGGATTTTCATGATGATGTGCCTTGCTACAGTTCTTCTTTCATCCCTCATGCCCAGGGCTGGATTGGTTCTTTCCATCTAGAAACTCATGTCCTCCAGTCATGGAAAGTTTTCTTAAATGTTGTATTTGATCATTTCTGCCCTCCAATTTCTCTAGACTCTCTTTCTTGAACTCCTGTTATTCTGTTAGTAGATCTCCTAGTCTGATCCTCTAACTTTTATAGTTTTATACCTGCCATCTTTGTTTACTTCCTTGACTTTCTAGAAAATGTCCCTCAGTGCCATCTTTCATGTCTCCTACCAAGTTGTTCATTCCTGCTGTCATATTTTTCATTCTCAATAGCTCTCTTTTGTCCTCTCAATGTTCCTCTTTTATAGCATTTTATTCTCACTTTGTAGATCCAATATCTTCTCCCATCTCTGTGAAGATATTAATATTGGTTTGTTTGTTTGTTTGAGTTTCTCCCTCCTTGCCTCTATTTCTTCTGGAGTTCTTTTTCTGTTTTTCTCCGTATTCCTTTCTCTTTCCTGGTATAGACTTTCCAAATACAGTTGATGAAATCTGGTTGTTCATTCATATTTAAAGTGAGATACCAGAAAGCTGGTGAGTAACTCTGTGAACACAGGTGGGGCTGCTGGCTGGTGGACTTTCCTGTAGGGTGATTTAGTTCAGCCATTTCATTGGGAGACCCCCACTGCAGTATCTGGAGACATTTTTTTTCTTGTTTTGCTTGATACCCAGAAGATAAATGTCCAATCTGTTGCCCAGAATGTATGATTCTGGCTGCCAGAGTTCTGAGATCTTTAAGTGTGAAGTGGGGTTGAGGGTTACTATATAGATATCAACTTCATCCCCCACTTTTCAGCAGAGTCCCACCCTTGGCTGGGTGTGGGGTCCCTCAGCCCAGAGTTCTAGAGAATGGACTCCCAGTCTTCTGCTGGAGTGAGGAGGGGACAGGGAAGCGCAGCAGCTTTCTAACCCATTTTCAACCTGTTTTCCTATTTCCAGCCCACCTTCACCTTCGCTTTTAGGGGTTGCTGTTACAACAGCTCTAAGCCATTTGGTGGCTGTGTGGTGTTCAAGCGGCTTCTAGCCTCTCTGCTGGTCTAGGTTTCAGCTTTCTCAGGTTTGCTAAATCCATCCACTTAGTTATCCACTTTCCAGATCCTGGGATGCCTGTGCATTTGTTCCTGTTCTGTCTTTGTGGGTTTATGCTTTTCTACAAGATTCCTTTCTCCTGAGTATTCAGAAGCAGCAGAAGCATGCAGCCTGCCACCTTGGACTGGAGGCATCCATATACTCAGCCTTTCTCCTTGCCTTTTCTTACCCACAGCCTGGTTTCCTTCAGCCTGCTTGGCTGCTGCATGGCTCATCTGCCTGACTTTAAGAACCAAGATCAGATGTGGAAGAAGCCAGAACAGGCAGGGAGCTATGCATAGAAGGCATGGTGTCCTTTCAGTAGCTGGGAACACTCCTTTGAGAGATGCTTGCCAAAGTTGCTTTATTTTTAATTTTTCCATCATAAAAGAAGCATATAGTCATTAAAGAAAGATTTGGAAATAGTAGAAAGAAGATATTTTAATTGCCTGTTTCTCCAAAAGAAATGTGTTTGCTTTTTGGCATATTTCCTGCCAGTGTTTTTTGTTGCCAGAGTTTTATCATTACTATGAAGCAGGAGGTGGAACAGGGGTGTCCTCGCCTGCATTGCCATTGGGTCTGCCTGCTCCCCCACTGCTCCCAGTGAGGGAGGAATCCCTTCAAAGACTAAGCTCTCAACTCCATGCTTCCCATTGGAGGGGAGGGGACAACCCAGGAGGAGGAAGATCCAAAAGAGAATGAAACAGAACCTCCTTGTGATGCTAGAGTGGTGGGGCGGAGCTGGGGGGTGAGACAAGCACAAGGAAGACGACAGAACTGCAGAGGCACAGAGGGTTGGCAGGAACATGGAGGTGGTATTTGGCCATCGGGAAAGAGGCCTGGGAGGGGGGCGCAAAGACTCCGCTTGAGGAACATCAGGAGGTGAGGCAGGAAATGTGTGTTGGGGCCGTATCATATCATTAGTTTTGGTGCCTGGCTAAGGAACTTGTTCTTAATTGAATGGGTATGAGGCACCAGGCATTGAAGGCATGGCAAAAATCAAGACCACCCCTGGGGAGCTCCAGGCTGGATGGGGGTCTCTTCTGTCTGGCTCCAGCACTCTGACACCCTCCCTCCCAACCCCGCCACCACCCCTGCCCACTCCACGTTGTTAGGTGTGGACGATGGCGCTGACATCCCCAGGGAGCTGGTGGTAGGCATCTATGAGAGGATACAGCAGAAGGAGCTCAAGTCCAATGAGGACCACGTCACGTACGTCACCAAGGTGGAGAAGTCCATCGTGGGCATGAAGACAGTGAGTGTCCACAAGCCACCTACCTTTCCGAAACTCTTTCTTCGTATTCATTCACATAATAGTTATGGAGTAGCTACTGTGTGCCAGACACTGCATCTCTTTTTTTTTTTCTTGCCTAATTTCCTCATTGCCTCTTGCCACCAGATACTGCAGCAGGAGAGTCTGAGATGAGATGTCAAGAAGAACTGCCTGGTGGTCTAGGGTGGAAGCATCTGCGTGGCCAGATGAGATTTAGTCCCTTTCCTAGGACAGCATGACTACCAGGCATTCCTGGATGGTCCTGATGAGTAGAAGGCAGGAAATGGACTCAATAGGCTCTACACTGTGGCATCACCATAGAGGTGCCTTACTGGTAGTGACCTGTGTCCCAGGCAGCATGTTCCAAACCTGCAATGATTTTTTTTTTTTTTTTTTTGAGACGGAGTCTTGCTCTGTAGCCCGGGCTGGACTGCAGTGGCCGGATCTCAGCTCACTGCAAGCTCCGCCTCCCGGGTTTACGCCATTCTCCTGCCTCAGCCTCCGGAGTAGCTGGGACTACAGGCGCCCGCCACCTCGCCCGGCTAGTTTTTTGTATTTTTAGTAGAGACGGGGTTTCACCGTGTTAGCCAGGATGGTCTCGATCTCCTGACCTCGTGATCCGCCCGTCTCGGCCTCCCAAAGTGCTGGGATTACAGGCTTGAGCCACCGCGCCCGGCCCCTGCAATGATTTTTAAAGTGGGACTTCTCTGTAGGCTACTACACTTTATACTATAAAGGATGTCATGGGGGTTCCAGTTCCTCCTCCTCATATTGTTGGCTCAGGGGACAGTTTGGGAGAGTTTGGAGACCTCTTCTGAGGCTCTGCACTAGGCTCCCTCCACCCAGTCTGTGCAGGGACAGCGTTTTCTGCTTTGAGAGCCTTTATTGCTGAGGTCTTAGCATCTGTCTGGTTGCAAGCGACTGGTTTGTCTTACACGCTGGAGTAGACACCAGGTGTCTCTGTGATCCCTTCGCTCTTGCACACTTGCATCTGTGCAGTAGAGAAAGGGTGGAGGTGTCATATCTGCAGGCTGCTGCCTGGGACAGGGGATGCCCTCAAGGTTATAGAGGGAAGCAGGTTGACGGTGGCTGGATTGGAACAGCCTGAAAGCTCTTCTCAATGTCCTTTTCCTGTCCCTCTATCACCTCATTTACTATGGCTTAGTGGACCCCTTCTCCTCTGGCTGTGCTCCCCAAGAGGCATGACAGGGATGAGCCCTGGGGACAGGGGGTGAGTATGTGAGGGAAAGAGCCTCAGAAGAGGGGAGAGAAGGATGAGAGTCAAGTGCAGGCCCCACCACAGAACCGGAGCCCCTCCCGTCTCCCTCCACAGAGCCGGAGCCCCTCCCCTCTCCCTCCACAGAACCGGGGAGCCCCTCCCCTCTCCCTCCACGGAACCGGGGAGCCCCGTTACGTATTGCTGGTCTCGATCTCCTGACCTTGTGATCCCCCTGCCTCGGCCTCCCAAAGTGCTGGGATTACAGGCTTGAGCCACCGCGCCCGGCTCCCTGCAAATGATTTTTAAAGTGACTTCTCTGTAGGCTACTACACTTTTATACTATAAAGGATGTCATGGGGTTCCAGTTCCTCCTCTCATATTGTTGGCTCAGGGACAGTTTGGGAGAGTTTGAGACCTCTTCTGAGGTTTCACTAGGCCCCCTCCACCCAGTCTGCAGGGACAGCTGCTTTGAGAGCCTTTATTGCTGAGGTCTTAGCATCTGTCTGGTTGCAAAGCTTACTGGTTTGTCTTACACGCTGGAGTAGACACCAGGTGTCTCTGTGATCCCTTCGCTCTTGCACACTTGCATCTGTGCAGTAGAGAAAGGGTGGAGGTGTCATATCTGCAGGCTGCTGCCTGGGACAGGGGATGCCCTCAAGGTTATAGAGGGAAGCAGGTTGACAGTGGCTGGATTGGAACAGCCTGAAAGCCTTTCTCAATGTCCTTTTCCTGTCCCTCTATCACCTCATTTACTATGGCTTAGTGGACTCCTTCTCCTCTGGCTGTGCTCCCCAAGAGGCATGACAGGGATGAGCCCTGGGGACAGGGGGTGAGTATGTGAGGGAAAGAGCCTCAGAAGAGGAGAGAGAAGGATGAGAGTCATGGTGGCCCTACCACAGAACCGAGCCCCTCCCGTCTCTCCACAGAGCCGGAGCCCCTCCTCTCCCTCCACAGAACCGGGAGCCCCCTCCTCTCCTCCACGGAACCGGGAGCCCTCCTCTCCTCCACGGAACCGGGAGCTCCTCCTCTCCTCTCCACGGAACCGGGGAGCCCCTCCCCTCTCCCTCCACGGAACCGGGGAGCCGCGCCCCTCTCCCTCCACGGAACCGGAGAGCCGCGCCCCTCTCCCTCCACGGAACCGGAGAGCCGCGCCCCTCTCCCTCCACAGAACCGGAAGCCCTCCCCTCTCCCGCCACAGAACCGGAGCCCCTCCCCTCTCCCGCCGGGACAGTTTGGGAGAGTTTGAGACCTCTTCTGAGGTTTCACTAGGCCCCCTCCACCCAGTCTGCAGGGACAGCTGCTTTGAGAGCCTTTATTGCTGAGGTCTTAGCATCTGTCTGGTTGCAAAGCTTACTGGTTTGTCTTACACGCTGGAGTAGACACCAGGTGTCTCTGTGATCCCTTCGCTCTTGCACACTTGCATCTGTGCAGTAGAGAAAGGGTGGAGGTGTCATATCTGCAGGCTGCTGCCTGGGACAGGGGATGCCCTCAAGGTTATAGAGGGAAGCAGGTTGACAGTGGCTGGATTGGAACAGCCTGAAAGCCTTTCTCAATGTCCTTTTCCTGTCCCTCTATCACCTCATTTACTATGGCTTAGTGGACTCCTTCTCCTCTGGCTGTGCTCCCCAAGAGGCATGACAGGGATGAGCCCTGGGGACAGGGGGTGAGTATGTGAGGGAAAGAGCCTCAGAAGAGGAGAGAGAAGGATGAGAGTCATGGTGGCCCTACCACAGAACCGAGCCCCTCCCGTCTCTCCACAGAGCCGGAGCCCCTCCTCTCCCTCCACAGAACCGGGAGCCCCCTCCTCTCCTCCACGGAACCGGGAGCCCTCCTCTCCTCCACGGAACCGGGAGCTCCTCCTCTCCTCTCCACGGAACCGGGAGCCGCGCCCTCTCTCCCTCCACGGAACCGGAGAGCCGCGCCCTCTCCCTCCACGGAACCGGAGAGCCGCGCCTTCCTCCACAGAACTGAAGCCTCCTCTCCCGCCACAGAGCCAGAGAGCCCCGCCCCTCTCCCCTCCACAGAACTGGAGCCCCTCCTCTCCCGCCTACAGAACCGGAGCCCCCTCCTCTCCCCTCTCCACAGAACCACAGAGAGCCCCTCCCTCTCCCCTCTCCACAGAACCGGAGCCCCTCCCCTCTCCCTCCACAGAACCGGAAGTCTCTCCCCTCTCCCGGGCCACAGAACCGGGAGCCCCTCCTCTCCCGCCACAGAACTGGAGCCTCCTCTCTCCTCCCGGGCCACAGAACCAGAGAGCCCCTCCCTCCTCCACAGAACCAGAGAGCCCCTCCTCCCGCCACAGAACCGGAGCTCCTCCTCTCCCGCCACAGAACCAGGAGCTCCTCCTCTCCCTCCACAGAAGGAACTCCCTCCCCTTCTCCTCCACGGAGCCGGAGCCCTCCTCTCCCCTCCACGGAGCCGAGCCCCTCCTCTCTCTAATCACGTGAACCAGAGAGGCCCCTCCCCTCTCCTGCCACGGAACCGGGAGCTCCTCCTCTCTCCTTCCACAGAAGGGAAGCCTCCTCCTCTCCCCTCTCCACGTGAACCAGAGAGAGGCCCCTCCTCTCCCCGCCACAGAACCGGGAGCCCTCCCTCCCTCCACAGAAGCGGAGCCCCTCCTCTCCTCCACAGAACCAGAGAGGCCCCTCCCCTCTCCCGCCACAGAACCGGAGCCCCTCCCCTCTCCCTCCAGAAGCGGGAGCCCTCTCCTCTCCCCTCCACAGAAGGGAGCTCCCTCCCCTCTCCTCCCACAGAAGGAGCTCCTCCTCTCCTTCCAGCTGCAGAACCGGGAGCCTCTCCCCTCTCCCTCCACAGAACCGGGAGCCCCTCCCTCCTCCAGAACCGGAGCCCTCCCCTCTCCCTCCACAGAACCGGAGCCTCTCTCTCTCCCCTCCACAGAAGGAACCCTCCCCGTCCTCCACAGAACCACAGAGCCCCTCCCTCTCTCCCGCCACAGAACCAGAGAGCCCCTCCCCGTCTCCCGCCACAGAACCAGAGAGCCCTCCCTGCCTCCCCGCCACAGAACCGGGAGCCCTCCCGTCTCCCGCCACAGAACCGGAGCCCCTCCTCTCCCTCCACAGAAGCGGGAGCCCCTCCTCTCCCGCCACAGAAGCGGAGCCCTCCTCTCCCGCCACAGAAGCGGAGCTCCCTCCTCTCCCTCCACAGGAAGCGGGAGCCCTCCTCTCCTCACAGAAGCGGGAGCTCCCTCCTCTCTCCACAGAACCGGAGCCCCTCCCTCTCCCCTCCACAGAACCGGAGCCCTCTCTCCCCGCCACAGAAGAACCCCTCCCTCTCCTCCACAGAAACGGGAGCCCCTCCTCTCCTTCCACAGAAGTGGAGCCCCTCCCCTCTCTCTCTCCACAGAACCGGAGCCCTCCCCTCTCCCTCCTCCACAGAGCCGGAACCCTTCTCTCCCCCGCCACAGAACCGGGAGAGCCCGCACTTCTCCCGCTTACAGAAGCGGAGCCTCCTCTCCTCTCCACAGAAGGAACCTCCCTCTCCTCCACAGAACCGATTCTCCTCTCCCTCCACAGAGCCGAACCTTCCTCTCTCTGCCAAGCAGAACCGAGAGCCCCGCACTCTCCCGCCACAGAAGGAGCCCCTCCCCGTCTCCTCCACAGAACCGGGAGCCCCTCCTCTCCCCTCCACAGAACCGGGGAGCTCCTCCTCTCCTCTACAGAACCGGGGAGCCTCCTCCTCTCCTCCACAGAAGCGGAGCCCTCTCCTCCACAGAACCGGGAGCCCTCCTCTCCTCCACAGAACCGGGAGCTCTCCTCTCCTCCACAGAAGCGGAGCTCCTCCTCTCCTCCTCCACAGAACCGGAGTTCCCTCCTCTCCCCTCTCCACAGAGCCGGAGTCTCTCCCTCTCCCCGCCACAGAAGCCGAACCTCCCGCTCCTCCCTCCCCTCTCCCGCCACAGAACCGGAGCCCCTCCCCTCTCCCGCCACAGAACCGGAGCCCCTCCCCTCTCCCGCCACAGAAGCGGAGAGCCCCTCCCCTTTCCTTGGGGCCCCGTCTCTTCTTCTGGAAAATGGGCGCTGTGGTTGGGGAGGCCTCGAGGCCTCTGGTTTCTCCCGCTGAGCGCCACGCCTGCGTGCAGGTGCTGTCGGTGCCCCACCGCCGCCTGGTGTGCTGCAGCCGGCTCTTTGAGGTGACGGATGTGAACAAGCTGCAGAAGCAGGCGGCGCATCAGAGGGAGGTGTTCCTCTTCAATGACCTGTTGGTGGTGAGTGGCCCCCGCTCCGGGACTGGGCTGGGCTGGGGCTACCCGCTGCCCTGAGCAGCCTGGGCAGGGTCCCTGAAGTGGGCAGGAAAGGACGCCCAGAGGTTTCAGACGGAATGCCTGTTCCGTGGGACGGATCTGCCTTCATGGTGCTTTTCACACCGTGGGCTCTGTGAGGGGGTTCAGGCAGACATGCTAATTCCTACTTAATAAGTCGTGACACCGAGACATCAGATGATCTGCTCGTGGTTGCACAAACTGTTAACAGACTAGATCCCAGACCATTGGCTTCTCCACGTTACAGGAAGCCCAGGGCAGGGAGCGCACAGGGCTGTGCCTCACACTCCAGGGCCTGGGAGGAACGGGGCCTACCTAGGTGGAGCATGCTCTGTCCCTGGGCCTCGGCGAGGCTGGTTTATCTGTGTGTGTGTGCGCGTGCGTGCACATGCATGCACACATGTGTACATCTGTATCCACAGATACTCATTCCTTGCTCTTTGAAAACAAGTATCCATTCAACAAATATTTAATCAGTGTGGACCTGTGCCAGGCATTATTGTAGGTCTGGAAAACTGGTGAGCAGGACTGGAACAGGGCTTGCCTCTCCCTTGCACGGGCCCTCTCTATCCATGAGCCACACTGGCACTGCCTCTAAAATGATCACAAGCCTGAACGACCTCTCACCACCTCCACTACTACGGTCTTAGCGTGCGCCTGGTACATTCAGTGAACCACATCAGCCTCCACACGGCTCTCCCCACCTCTAGAGTTCACCCCCTGAGAGCAGCAGCGTGATCTCTCTGGAGTGCACATTAGGCCACGTGTCCCCTTCCCCTAACCTGCCTCCCTGCCCTCTCCTCAGCCCTGTGAGCCGCCTCCCTTCTGTGGGCCAGGACTTTGTACTTGCTGCTCCTTCTTGCGAAGCTCCTCCAGACCTTATACTCTCCTCTTGCCTTCCTGGCCTCCTTTTCATTCAAGTCTCAAATCACTTTTGATTCCTTACCGTATTTCATTTTCTTCAAAACACTTAGCACCTTGGTTTTGTTTTGTTTTTTTGCTGTTATGCTTTATTGTTTGATCACCTGATGGACACTGTGACACTCCACATTCCATAAGCACTTTGAGGGCAGGGGCTCTGTTCTGAGTTCTGTATCTCCAGGGCTCAGCTCACAGAAGGCTCCGAATAGAAATTTGTTTATTAAGCAACCAGATGACTTTACTAAAATAAGCTTTCATTTCAGTAGGGGAGGGAGATAGAAAATAATTAAGAAACAGACAAAAAAGATAATATCAGATTGGGGGAAGGCACTGTGAAGGCTGCAACCAGGTGATAGTATGGAGAGTGACTGGGGTTAAGGGCCGGATTTGGGTTTGCTGCGGTTTGTTTTCTAGAGGGGGTGGTCCAGGAAGGCATCTCTAAGGAGGTAGCATTTGAGACTTAAGTAATGAGAGTAATGCAGCTGTGCAAAAAGCTGCCGGGAGAGCTGTGGAATGGGAACAGCGTATGCGAGGGGCCCACAGTGGAACCGAGCTTGCCCTTCTCAAGCTACAGAAGGGAGGACACCGTGGCTTGGGCAGAAGTCCAGAGTAAGGCAAGGATCACATCAGGTGGGTTTTACAGACCAGCTCAGGCTCCGTGGCTTCGCTTCTAAGTGCAGAGGGAATAATGACTGTAGGGTTTTGTGCAGTGAAGACGCACATTTTGGTATAGTGTGTGTACATGTATGTATATATCTGTATCTGTATGTACACATTCATCACTGCATGTGTTTACTTCTGTGATCATGCATCCCCCTGGGTGTTTGTGCATCCATGTTTCCATGACTGTCTGCTCATCAGCACATGTCTATCTCCCTCTCCTGAACAGATTCTCAAACTTTGCCCGAAGAAGAAGAGCTCCTCCACATATACCTTCTGCAAGTCAGTTGGCCTGCTGGGCATGCAGTTCCACCTCTTTGAGAACGAGTGTAAGTCTTTGACAGCCAATGTAAGTCTTTGAGAAAGAATAGATGAATGAAATGGCTGGGGCGAGTTGAGGGAGAAGTGCTGGACAGCAGAGTGGATGGAGGCATGAGTGCCCCCAAGACCCCGTGCCCTCCTCATGTCTAGCTGGCTCCAGCCCTTGGCTGCTGCTGCTCACAGCCCACTGGGGGCCTGGGGTCTGCTTTCCAGATTACTCTCATGGCATCACACTGGTGACACCGCTCTCGGGCTCCGAGAGGAAGCAGGTGCTGCATTTCTGTGCCCTGGGCTCGGACGAGATGCAAAAGTTCGTGGAGGACCTGAAGGAGTCCATTGCTGAGGTGACAGAGCTGGAGCAGATCCGGATAGAGTGTAAGGACGCAGGCTTCCCGAGGCAGCTGGTGGGGGTTCCCATTCAGCAATGGACAGGGGTAGCTTGAGACCGATATGCCTGACTCCAGGGAGCAGCGCAGCCCTGCCCTGGCCCCACTTCGGACCCTCCCCATCTCCAGGCCCCACCACACCACACTCCCACAGCCCGGGTGGGAGCACCAGTTTCCATGTTTCTTCACAATTAAAGTGAGGCTTGCTAGAGTGCACACACATGTGTACACAGATCAGCAGACATGTGGGGCTGCACGTGGGCCTCTTGGAACAGAGAGCTCTGCTATGTTTTACCAGGATGACCAAGCGAGCTGGCCAGGCAGGCCCATGGGGCTCTGGTGCTTTCCTTCCCACCAAACCGTCTGCTGTTACCTCCCCCGCTGTGGCCCAAGTCTGTACATTGCATCTGGTTGGCCTCATTTCTTCACTCTCTTTTAATCTTGAATCATCCCTCCACTTTATTTTCTTTAAAACATGGTCCTTTTGAAGAGCCTAGGCTGCTTTCTTACTATCCCTCATCTTACAGTAGTCTCTGTTCCTCTAAGGAATGCTTAGATTCTAGATTATTCCATTCAGGCATTTTAGAGAATATGTGGGTCTCCTTGTATGTCCAGGTGGTTTACTGTCCACTTTGGGGTTAGGGGAAGAGCAGCAAGGGCCTGCAACCTGTACCCACCTACAAGCTTGTACTGATTAAGCATCACAGAGGCTCCAGATAGCCTTTAAGGGAGGACTAAATAAGAACAGATTCAGAAACGAAAACAGAAAATGAAAATACGCTTCAGGCCTGCCTGTATGGCCACTTAGTTAAAACGTGTTTCTAAATTAATATCTGCCCATCAGGCGCTAGGAAAGGCAGGGGGAGATTTTGAGCAGGGGATCAATGTGACAGGCTGGTGCTTTTGAATCATCATTTTTGAGGTTCCTACTACACGCTAAGCAGTTTATTTTGTGGATTCTCATAGTGACACTGCAGGGTGGGCGCATTGACCCCACTCTACAGCTGAGGCTCAGAGGAGTTCAGCCGTGTGTCCAGGCTGTGCATGTTAGAAGTGGAGGAGCTGTCATTTTCATTTACGTTTGATTCTATACTTCCACTCAGGAGTGAGAGAAGAGGTTCTGTTTATTTTTTCTAAGGAAACAATCTAAATCAGGGTAAAATGAGATCCATCAGACTGGGCTCTAGAACTCAGGTAACTGCTTGGTGGGGAGGGGTGCATATAAACTCCCTTTCTTCAATCTGTTGGCTTATTTGAGTTCAGTGCTGAAACAAACAGATTCTTTTCAAGGGCTGCACTGGATCCCCAGAGAGGCCACCCCTGCTGTTGTTCTGGAGCATTTTCAAGAAAGTACCTTGAAATGGCTTCACCTCTCTCATTGTCTGACTGTCCCAGATGGCTCCGCACTGCCCTGGGAGGCCATAGCACACCAAGTGGCACCAGCATAGGTGAGAGAGGCACCTTCCTCCATCAGCGCAGGAGCAGCGTTTACCCGGCTTCCCAAAGTCACAGAGGAGCAGACAGTGTCAGAATCTGTCATATCAGGAGGTGAATATCCTCTCCTGCTGCCTCAAGGGTAAAAGAGCAGGAAGAAAGGCTCATGCTGGCTTAGTCTTCACTGGAGAGAAAGGGAAGGAACAGCTGAGGGAAGAGGAAGGGCAGGCCAGGGAGACAGGGAGGAAAGGAAGCCAGGAAAAATAAAATAAAATAAAATGGGCTGGACTCAGTGGCTCACACCTGTAATCCTAGCACTCTGGGAAGCTCAGGAGGGAGGATTGCTTGAGCCCAGGAGCTCAAGAACAGCCTGGGCAACACAGCAAGTCCTCGTCTCCACAAAAAAGAAAAGAAAACGGAAAACAGTATCAGCTACCATTTATTGAGGACTTATTATATGTCAGGCACTGGACTAATTCTCATGACAGCTTTCCATAGTGGGCATTATTTTCCTCATTTTACAATAAGGAAACAGGCTAAAAGCACTTAGGGAAATTGTCCAAGTTCGCAGTCAGTGACAAAACAAGGTTTGCATCCAATGGCCCAGGACTCCTCACTTGTATTTATGATGTTAATTTCTCCAAAGCCAAGAGAGCCCCTCTGGGGGAGGGAAACAACTCTCAGCGCAGTAAAAATATTTAGCATTGATTGATGGTGTGATTTAGGCAATCAGGACAAATTGTTCTGGTTTGGGGGCCTACAGGTCAGTGTCCCTGGTTTCTAGACAACCAGAGAGACTGAAAACGGAGCCCAGGAGAGTAGCTTTAATAAAAGGAACTTGAGTTATGTCTCCTGGAAAAGAGAAGCAGGAGGAGTGATTTAATAATCTTGTCAAATCTCCAAGGATGGCAGCCGGCAGTTCTGTAGCTCCACTGAGAGAAGAACAAGAAGGAACAGGTTTCCAATCCAGTGAGAGGAATTAAAGTTGAGTTAAATTAAAGCAGGCTTGCAACTTCCACACCCTTGGTATGGACTTTCCTCCATGGGAGAGCTCTGAACACCTTGTGGAGGCTCAGCCGGCCAGGCAGGCTCCATCCTCCCAGGTGCTGGGTGGAGAGGTGAGGTGTCACCCCTGTCAGCAAGCTCCGCTGTACCAAGTGCTTCTCACACAATGTAACAAAACTGATACAGGTTGGAGCAAAAGTAATTGCGGTTTTTGCCATTACTTTCACACACACCTTAATACTTATGGAGTACGGGTCACTAGCCAGGCCTTGTCCTCAGTGCTTTATGTGTGTTTCCCCACGCAGTCCTCTTAGTGACACCTTGAAGCGGGCACAGCTGTCCTCTCAAGTGAGGCATGGAGAGGTTGGGTAACTTGCCTAAAGCCACACAGCCAGGGAGTGTCAGAACCAGGATTCAAACCCAGGCAGTTCACCTCCCTCATATCAGCCTCTTCTGTGCCTCTCTGATGTTCAAGCAGATATGATCATCCCCATGTACAGATGAGGAGACCATGGTTCCGAGGGGGTATTTTACTTGCTATTCAGTGGTGGGGCCAGACCCGAGGTCCGGGTTTCACAGCATGTGCTGGGACCTCTCGGCTTCTTCCTCCTCTTCCTGCCTGCCCCTCATTTCCTCCCTTACTTCTGTGTGTTTGAGATTATGGTTTCTCTTGCTCATGGGCCTCTCCATTCCTTAGGGGAGCTGGAGAAGCAGCAGGGAACAAAGACACTCTCCTTCAAGCCCAGCGGAGCCCAGGGGGACCCACAGTCAAAGCAAGGATCGCCGACAGGTGAGCCTCGGCTCTGCCCAGGGCGCCAGCCCCCATGGAGGCCACTCAGGGACCCTGGGTGTGGGTCCTGGGCAATCTGCAGGGAGAGTTGCCCGTTCCCATGGCATGTTTCTTTCTGCTGAGGAGTGCCAGGCTTGCCTTCTTTAATCTCATGGGCTTTAGTGCTGGGAGTAAGGAGGAAGGCAAGAGAGAAATGTGTCTGTCCATTTTGCAAACTGCACCAGAGTTCTGGAGTCTATGTGAGATGTCACTGTCTGCCCTGGAGGAGTCAGGCAAGAGTCCTGGCATCCCGGGCCCAGCAGGGAGGCCTTCCCTCCTGCAGCCAGGCTGTCCTGACGAGATGAGGTCAAGAGAAACCCCATGAGGAACACTCTCCAACCAGGCAGTATAAGAGGGCAGGGTGACCAGAAGGATCTGGATCTTGCTCTTCTTTGTACAGTCCCTTCACTAATGAGGCAAAAGCACTCCCTAATCCCTGGCTCAGGTCAGCCCACCCCAAATCCAGAGAGACTCTCAAACTCCACTTCTCTAATGGTTTCTCCAATTGAATTGCTCACTCCAGCTGAGTCAAGTTGGCTCCAGAGGTGGCACCTCCTTCGGCCAGGTTCCCTAGACCTGCATCCTCTGCCCTCAAGGGCCCCTACCTTCCACCTCCTACCCCAACCTTACCCCCACCTGCAGGGGATCAGGAAAGGTTTCCACCACCTCCCCTCCACCAGCCCCTAATAAAGAGAACAAGGAGAGATGCATGAGAATTCAGTCACATTCCAGTGAAATCCCAGCAAGCCATCCACAACTGTCCACCAATTAGTTAACTCAGTCACTTACTCTCACACTCAACAAACACTTCTCGAATGGCTGCTGCCCTGTGCAGAGCACTGGAAAGCCAGGATCATAGCGAGAAACTCCAGTGGGCTCCATGCGGTCCATGACCCGCCACAGTTGGTCCTGACTCCTGACTTGGAACAGGCAGCAGCACCGGGACTGGTTACAGCAGCGAGGACATGAGATTCACTCTCCAAGCAGGACATGGAGCTCTTTTTGCTATGTAGAGATTCTCACTGTGATGGAATCTTCCCTATATGGGTTTGACCTGCCATCGTGCGTCCATAATTCTCCACCCTGCCTGATTTCAGTTGGCCTCTTCATTTCTATAAGGTCATAGGGCACGGGTCGCTGCTTGTTTTCTCAGCTGTGAAACCCCAGAGCTAGCCCTCAGCTGCATATCATTCCCTGCCATTCCTTCCTGCCTCTCTTTTGGAAGCTGCCCGCCCTGGTTAGGGCCAGATGCCTGTCCCCAGGGACGTGTCCCTTAGTCCCTTCCACAGCTGGGTCTGTCTCATTCCCAGACAATGGTGCAGCTCCCTCTACTGCTGCAGGAAGCAGAGGACTGAGCACAGCAGGGGGAAACTGGCACCCCCAGGGGTTGGGAAATGAGAGGGGCTCCTGTGGGGGTAGGGGTGGAAGCCGAGAGTGACTCAGCCAGAAAGAGCCAATGAGCTATCCATGGAGGTCCGCAGGGTCCCTGCTGCTGTGCCAGGCCAGCCAGAAGGCCCTCAGAGTAATTACAGAGCCATTATCACCTCTTACTGTGCCAGGCACTGCGGTGAGTGCTGTGCAGGCCTCAGCCCATTTGGTCCTCCCCCCTCAGCCAGTCTGCAGGGCTGGGAGCAAAGAAGTGTGGCTCACACTCAAGGAGCCTGTGATCCATGGAGGCTGATGAACGTGGCGCCCACAACCCAGGCCTCCTCCAAGCCAGCTTTCACAGTTCGTACTGGGGAGGCTTTGACTGTGGGTAAATCAGATTCCACAATGCCAACATGAGAAAGAGCGCCAGAGATCTTCTAGTCTGTGGCAGCCCAGAGAGATGTAGCATCTCGCCCAGGTCACACAGCTCCTAAGTGGCAGAGTGGGACTCCCAACCTCCGCCCCAGTGAGGAGCAGCGTGACCCCAGTCTTAGCTGCAGAGATGCTTGAGGGGCGCAGGGGAGGGGCAGGTAGCTCATTCTCAGCCAGTAGAGAGTGAGCCCTGTGCTCTTTGCATTCAAAGCCAAAAGGGAGGCCGCGCTCAGGGAGAAGCCGGCGGAGAGCACGGTAGAGGTAAGTGGAGCCCTGGTTGCCCAGGTGAGTGACTCCCTACCCCCTTGTCCTTCTTCTCACCGTCTCTGTTGTTTCTCTTCTCAGGTATTAATCAATGCCTCCCCAGCCCGACTCACCATTTTACCAATTTCAAGAGATACAATTAAAAGTTACTGCTAGCATGGGTAATGCCACTGTTCCAGCGCCTAATTAAGCCGCGAGCTCTTTCTCCCCTTTCCCCAGCCTGCTGCCCTCCGAGGCCGAGCTCCCAGACTAACACAGTGGAGACGGAGCTCATGACACCCTAGGGCCATCCTTCCTCTGTGCCCCCAAATCCACCTCCCCAGGAAATGCTCACTGCTCACTGCTCCCCCAGTACTTGCTGTATCAGAGAACCTCACATCCCCTTCCCCAAGTCCTCCCACCCTCCATAGCGGGGAGCCTGGGCTCCCTCGGAGAGTCACCCCTTAGGCCAGGCCCCAGACAATCACTTCTGGGGCAGACCCTGCCCTCTTGGACACCTGGGGCCAGGTTGGAGAATTGAGACTTGGGGGCCGGAGGGAGGGGGAACTCCTCCCTGGAACAGCTGGTCCATCTGGAAAGCTGGCCGTGGCGTGGGGATGTGTGCAAAAGAAAATGAGACAGAGTAGGTGGGGGTGTCTTGGGGGCTTTCCTGGGGTAAGAGCGATAAGCCTGAAGACTGTGTGATGGAGGGGAGGCTGCCCATCTCCACGTCACATAGCGAGGGTCTGCTGAAGACCCAGCAGCAGCTGGTCCCTGCCAAACCCCCACAGTGCCACCTATGGGAGGAGCGTGCAGGTGCCCCTACAAGCCTCGTGAGCCCCAGCCCTCTCCCACTGGGTCCTCTTGCACCCCAGTGAGTCCCAGCTCCACTCCTTTCCTGCCAGGCCTCCTGGAGCCACCAGCTGCTCATACAGACACCTCCCTTCCCAGCCCCTACTTTGAGCCGGAGGGAGCCCTATTAGGTGTCTTATTAAGGTGCCCTACCCACCAGCCTGACTAAGCCCTGGGAAGAAGCAGGACACCCCAGGGGAGCTCAGTGTCTTCTCTCTCTCCCACGGCCCCCCACCCCCCACACACCCGTGTCTGGAGGAGGCACCTTTACAAGGAGGAGCTTCCTGCCCCAGCAGCTGACAAGCCCCCAGGGTGGGTATTCTATTCCCCGCCCCCCTCCACTCCCCATCCTCCGCAGCTGCCCATTCTTGAGCCTTGCAGATAAGCACACCCGTGCCCAGCCCTCTGTTCTGTTCTGCCAGCCCTGCCCTGCCCTAGCCTGAGCTACCCAGGGAGGACAACCAACCCCACGCTCTCCTCCCTCCTGCCCTGCCTAATGGCATATGGCTATCTGCAAGGCTGCCACCCTCAGCTAGCTCCAGGGCCCCGCCAGCCTCTGCTCTCCTGCGCAGAGGGCAGCCTCGCCTCCCGTGGCCTCAGCTGGACCCCAAGCTCTCTGTCCTCTGCCCTCTCTCTGCCGTTGCTGGCCAAGCCCCTCTGGCAGGTGCTTCTCCATCTTCTCTGAGCTGTTCTGACCTGCTGCCCATGTTCCATCCTCTGTCTCCCCCTTCCCCTCATTCTTTCTTTCATGAGCAGGGAGGTGAGAAGGGGGTCAGATGAGAGGACATTTTGCTGTCCCTTCCTGCTCTACACTTACTGACCACTAAAGAGAAAGGATCCAGACTGGGATGGGGCCGGGGGTGCAGTGGAGGGACCAGAGCAGGGGAGGTAAACGGGAGGCGCAGGCTGTGGCCCAGAGCGGGCGCTGCGTGGGGAGCCTCAGGGAGAAGAAGGACTGCTCAGGGGATCTGGACTGGGACAGCCAGACATTCGCCTGGGGAGGGCTGCTACCAAGTCCAGGTGGAGGGGGGCAGGTGAGCACAAGCCTGTCCTGGCTGCCTCAGGCCCGTGTCTCCTGGGGAGGAATTCAGAACACACGCAGGAGGGGGAGGAGCGCGTGCCCTCCAGCAGCTTCTGCCTGAGTGAGGACCCTAGAGGGATCCCCAGAGGCAGGTGGGCCCCAGCCATGCTCTCTGCCTGCCGTGTCTTGGAAGGACAGTGAGGGGCTCAGGGAACCTTGGTTTGTTTAGGGGGAGGACCTCAGGCCTGGAAAATGTGCTGAGGTTGGAGGCTGAGAAGGAAAAATAAAGCCTGCGTGCGACACGCCGAGTGTGGCAGTTGGGCGCATGAATATTGAGGGGTAGACAAAGGCCTGGGGAGCCTCAGGAGGGAAGTCGCCCGCTGGGAGTACACAGGTCCGGGAAAGGGTGTCCCTGAACTGCACCTGCAGCCGAAAAACAGGATGAGGAAATGCTGGTTTAGGGTTCCGGGGTAGTTTTGGGCTGGGCCAGCTGGGTCCAGGCCTGGGATGAGGTACCTCCCCTGCAGGTTCCGTTTCCCCCTCGGTGCTCTGAGCACTGGCCCCAGGTGGTGCTGCCCGAGGACAGATGGCAGCCCAATAGGAAGATCCTCAGAGAGGAGGAGGGTCTCAGCCTCCCCCAGAGGACCCAGGTGTTTGGAGAGGATTGTGTGGTGTCATAGCCATAGGCAGGGGAGCTTGGGGGTGGAACGGTGTGAGGAGTTAAATCCTTCTCCTTCCAGAATCCTCTAGCCTCCCTTCCACCCATCTCCTCCACCTCCCGCTGCTAGCAAGGGGAGACCAGGCTAGTTCACAGTGACCTCCATGTCTGAGGGCGGAGGCTCATGCCCCGCCTTGGGGATCAAGGTTAGAGCCCTCTCTGGGGATCCCCTCCTGCAGCCAGGCAAGTTAACCAGGACCCAGCTTAGGCCAGAATGACAGCTGGGGAGCTGACTCTGCCTCGGCTGTTTGGGCTGCTCTCGAATGCAGGGTCACGGCCTTGGGGAGTCTGGGAGGACAGGTAGGTCCAGATCACCCTTTGGCATTCTGGGGTTTAAGCCTCTATGATGTCAATGGTACCAGTGATTCTTCCTCTGTAACAAGGCTGGAGGGAACAGAGAGATATGAAAGGCTCAAAAATGCTTGGCTCTGTCCCTGGGTCTGCCTTCCTTTGCCTCGACACACTCCTAGGAGGTGGGGAGGGGCAAAGACTATGGCCCCTGCTTTCAAGCTCAGAGTGTGGTGGAAAAGGAGGTGAGGAGGAGTTTTCCCATGGCCTAGGGACACCCAGCAGCTCCGTGAAGTCAGGCGGCAGAGGAATGCAGAGCCCATCTTACAGATGGAGAGACTGAGTCCGCAGAGCGACGCCGCTCACCGTCAGTGGCAGGACATGCCAGCCTCTCGACTCCTCTCTCCCTCCTGGGCAAAAGCCAGAGTCAGAACCCAGTCTTCTTGCGGGTAGAGAGATGGCGAGAGGGTCAGAGTGAGGGCTGAGAGTGGGAGGGAGGCCAGGGGAAGCTCAGGGCAGCCTGTCCTTGCAGCTGGGAATTAGTCTTGTAACATTTCATGCTTCTCTGGCTGTTTCTAAACTAGGTGTCAATTCACAACAGGCTTCAAACGTCCCAGCACAACTCCGGGCTGGGGGCCGAGAGGGGAGCGCCGGTGCTGCCGCCAGACCTGCCGCCTAGCCCCCTGAGACAGCAGCCCCCGCCGCTGCCGCCGCCGCCACCCACACCCCCGGGCACCCTGGTGCAGTGCCAGCAAATTGTCAAGGTCATTGTCCTGGACAAGCCCTGCCTGGCCCGCATGGAGCCCCTGCTGAGCCAGGCTCTCTCCTGCTACACCTCGTCCTCCTCTGACTCCTGCGGCTCCACACCCCTGGGCGGCCCCGGCTCTCCGGTCAAGGTCATCCACCAGCCTCCGCTGCCTCCGCCCCCACCCCCCTACAACCACCCTCACCAGTTCTGTCCACCAGGCTCCCTGCTGCACCGGCGCCGCTACTCCAGTGGCTCAAGGAGCCTGGTGTAGACTCTGCCCCACTCCGCTGCTGCCCCGGGAGGGCTGGCCACTGGGGGGCCTGGGCTGCCCCTCCACTGCTCCCCACGCCCTGGCACGATGCGTTCCTGGTCACTGATCACCATCATTTTGGGAAGAGAATCCCAATCCTGGCACCTGGGTTTGCCTCATCCAACCATCCTTCCCTTTCTCAGCTGCACCCTGACTCCAGTTCTGAAGACACACCTCACTCTCCCGGGGCCCTACGCAGCCAGACCCGGCGAGGCCTCCTCTTCCCCTGGCCACCACGTTCCCCCCTGGACCATGGACTGAAGAAACTGGAGCTGAGGGTCTAACTAGCTTGCAAGCTTTGAGTCTGTTAGTGCCCGGGGGCCTCGGGCCATGGGGCAGCAGCATGAGGCTGGGCCGGCCGGCAGTGGAGCACTAGACAGAAGCGGCTGGCTCGTAGCCCAGAACTAGTGCCTCTGTGGCTGTGCTGAGGGGAGGAGGGTTGGTCCCGCTCCCTGGAGGGACAGGTGGGAGAAGGGGGGGGGCTCTTTCTGCTGCCCCCACCCCCAAGCCTGGCACTCTGAAGAGGCTACTCCTCGGTCCCCAGGGACGTTGGCTGTCCTGACCATATCCTTCCCCCTCCTCCCAGGGCCTCTGCTTCCTCAGGAGCTGCCCAGACTCCAGAAAAGCTTGGAGAAAGGGAGGCAGGAAGAGGAGCATTTTAGCTCTCTGCGGGTCAGTTCCACAGGGTCGTAGGATTGTGAGGTCATGGATCTGCAAAATGCACCTTTTTAAAGAGTTTCTTAGTTCCCCAGCCCCAGCTAATACCCAGCCAATGCTGTGTGCGCACAGGCATGTGCCCGTAAACATGCATGAGAACCAGGCCATTCCTTCCGTTGTGCAAGCAGAAGTGGAGACGGGGCAGTGATCTGCCCAGCAGAGATGGGGCTCGGCCCAAGGCAGGGCTCCCTCTTGTATGAGTCTGTGGTCTCCAGGAGGGACTTGGGTGCAGAGGTAAGCAAGAAAAACGGGCTCCAGAGACATATGCATTTCCCCTGCACCCCTCAGCCTTTAAATATTTCCCCCTCCTAGAAGGTTCTAGACCTCCCCTTCCAGCAGGGGTGCCCAAGAGTCCCTGGACCCTCAAAATTGCAAAGGAGGCCCAAGCGCGGCTCACTGACCTCCCAGGGCCCAGCAAGATGGGATCGCCAGCCTTAGGTGGCCCCACGAGCTCAAGCCTGGGGAAGATGAGAGGCAGCCACCCCAGAGGCAACAGGAGCCGTACCATGGCCTGCCCAGTCAGGCCCTGTCAGGACATCTCTGTCCCAAGCCTGGCCAGGCTCCAGTTCTCTGCCAGCAGCTCATTGCTGTCCTGTGTGCAGGTCCCCCCACACTTGGAGCCCGTGGTTAAGGCCTCCTGGGAGAGGAAATGAACATGAGTCAAGTGTGACATGGACTTGAATCTCCCCACCCTTCCCCTGCCCTGCCCCGCCTGCAGTGGCTAGGCCAGGTAGGAAGCAAGGATCATTCCGGGCTCTCAGAGGTTCCAGATGACCTAGTTTCATTTCGTGTGTGTGTGTATGTGTGTGTGCGGTCACTCAGACGTCACTGTGATATCACCCAGTGAGTCTATTTCTGGCCCTGTCTTTGTCGGCCCAGTTTCCGTAACTTGCAGCCACTTTGCCCTCTCCCCTGTGGCTGCCAGCCCGTCTGCCCCTCCGTGTCCTTGCTGCCCTGGCCCTCCTCTCTTTTCTGGAACAGAGATGCTCCAGTCATTGCATTTCAGAGTGGAGCAGACAACAGATGGGGTGCACAAATTCAGGCACCTCTGATGCCCTTAGCCAAGGCAGGGATCGCCCTTGAAGTGACGGCCTGGACAGGAGGCGTCAGGGACCTGGGAGGAGGTGGAGTTGTGGGGATGGGAGTGGAGGAATCTTAAAATGAGGGAAGCTGAAAATAGAATGAAAATGATGACTAAGAGGCAGGAGTGCTAGGTATGGGGGAATAGGAACTAGGAGCTAAATATACTTAGGGGGTGGGGGCCGTGGGGGCCAGGGACACTGTCCCAGACAGCCCTGGCACGACAGGCAGGACCCTGTCCCCTACTCACATAGCTCTTCAAGCTTACAAAGTACCCTCTCCGCTGTTGAGGGGCACAGCAACCCCAGGCCCTCCCTCCCACCTCAGCTGAAGCCCAGATCTTCCAAATTGGAACCCGCGAAAGTCTTAGGGCTGGCGCGCATGTGGGCCTCCATCTGAGAACCTGGACTCTCAGGCACCTCAGGGCCCCTGCCCCAGGGCAGAGGCCCACCCCTTGGGTCGGTGCAGTGGCTGCCCTGGGCCCCACTGGCAGCACAGGGAGTCTGCAGGAAGCAGCCCGGCCTGGGGTCAGCTTCCCATGGAGCCAGTCCAGAGCTGGGAGGGCCATTCAACCCCTGGGGGGCAGGACACGGCTGCCCTCCTCACTGTCAGGGGAAGCAAGTGCCCAACATCTGTAACCCTTCCCTGCTCAGTCCCCAGGCCAAGGTTGGGCCTCCTCTCCGTCCCCATCGCCGTCCCCAGAGCCTAGACCTCGGGGACCTGGGAAAAGCCTGCTCCCTCCCGAGGGCAGCAGACAGGGCAGGGCCTCCAGCCCCCCAGAGGACCAGTGGGGGTGCTCTTAGGCCTTCCTGCTCTCCCAAGGTTGCGGGGACAGTAGAGTGCTGACTGAGCCCCAGACTCAATCACCCAAAGATGGCCCCACTCTATCCACTGCAGACCTTTGGGAAATCTGGGTCCCTCTCCTGATTTGATCCATTTGGCCCCAACTCCAGAGTCTGGAATGGGAGATGAAACTAGTTTTCCACCCACTTTTGGGGAAATCCCACCCCTAGATCTCTAGCAAGCCCTGCTGACAGCTTGTCCTGGAAGCCTGCCTGCCTGTCTCCACGGGTGTCTCGATCCGGCACACACTGATCAGCCCTGCGTCTTTGGGCCCCTGTGCCACCGGTCCCCACGGCCCCCCAGGAGTCTCTGTACCCACTAGGCTTCCCTGATGACCATCTGTCTGTCCGTCCCTGTGTCTGCTGTACATACCTCCTGCTGCACCCTCTCCCCACACACCCGTCACCCATAAGAGAGAAACCTCTCTAGGGAAAGGCAGGGTGGCTGCACCCAGCAACTAATCCAAATGGCAAATATTTTGTAACAAAATAGCCCAGAGGTATTTTATCTGTTCAATTCATAGAGTTTTAGAGATTATATTGAAAGATGTCACTTGAGCAAACTGTGTCGGTGCAGCTTCTTTTGCTCTCCCAGCAGGGAGGGCTCGCCCTAAATCAGAGCATCCCTTGGGTGAGGATTTGAGCAGGACACTGATGCCCTCAGCCTCTCGGGCTGCTCTCCCCTGGCCACAGCAGCACTATTCCTTTACCCCAGGACAATGCACTCATGTCCCATGGTTAGGAACCCCTGTCTTCCATAAAGGAGACTTGGGTGTGGGAAGATAAGGTAAGTCTTCCTATGGGTGGGCGCTGGCAGAGCTGGGACAGGGCTAGGACTGACCACCGTGTGTGTGGGCCTGACCCCGCTAACACATGCATACACCCCTCACTCCACCTCCCCGACCACACACACACAGCTTCCAGCCAGTCCAGAAAGCAGGCTACAGTGGAGACCAAAGGCAGCTTTGGAGGGAGGAGACCCCACGGCAGTCAGTACACCTCCAGGGGGAGATGAGGACCACCTCTGGCCTGCTTGGCGTTCTGCAGTGAAGAGTGGGGGTTTATCAGGGTGCGGGGGGAGGCCATCCCACTGGCCATGCCAGACATCAGCTCCCAAAGCCTGACTTCAGTGGCAGGGTCTGCTTTGTCCAGCCCCTGGGTCCAATCTTCCTGAAATGCAGGAGCAATGGGGCCCATGAAAGAACCGGAGGAAGATTGTTGGGGACACTGCACAAAGCCACAGAGAGCAATTCAGCAAACATATGCTGAGCCCCACAGTGTGCCAGGTCCCCTACTGGGAGCCAGAAGGGATGCCAAGGTTCTGGGAAGGATATGGATGTGACAGTAACCAAGTGGCTGTGAGGAAGCAGGGAAGGCTGGAATGAGGACTGGGAGAGGTGCAGGGGCACAGCCAGGTGCTCACAGCCAGGTGCAGTGCTCAGCTCAGCTCCATGGGGCTTGAGATGGGTGGTTCTCTTGGTCGGGGAGAGAGGAGAGCGCCTTCCAGCAACACTTGAGTCATCAGAGGAGAGCAATTGGCTGCCCCAGGACACCCGAGGGCACCCAGCTCTCCTGGTGACCAGAATTCTGAACACCTAGAAATCCCAACAGCTTCAGGACCTTCCCCAGGCTGGCTCCTGTTGTTCCCAGCTAAAGGGAAAGGAAGCTTGACCTCACCCTCTTCCCAGGAAATGGGAAATTCCAGAATAAGCTGGAAGCCAGCTATGACCTGTCCCATCCTGGGAAATCTCTGACCTGGGAAGCTGAGGACTGACCCCTTGAGAGCACTCTGCGGGGAACCAGCTTAGCCCGGGCCTGGGAGAGAGCCAAGGGCCAAGACGGCCCTGCTGCTCTCCATGCCGGATGCAGGCCTATGGCACCGTTCTCCAAATCTCGGGCCCCTCAGGTCATCTAGGATGAATACTTGTCCCTCCAGCGAGAGGAAGATCATCCTGTTCTGACAGAGCCCGTCTGGTGGTCCAGGCCCCTCTGTGCCCATCTGCCATAGGGATGGAGAACTACGGTCCGTGCGTCTCCCTCCATAATGACCCTTTGCAGATGGGAGAATGTCAGACTCATCAGTCATTGACTTTGAATGCTCCTAGTAAGGGGTCCCAGGACGTACTGGTTTCTGGCTGAGAGCAGTGGCCCAGAGCTCGTGCTGGAAATCAGGATGAACTGAACGGTAAGTTTGTGACCACCTGCTGAGCACTGTTCAAGGTGCTGGGGGCGATGCAGTGAAGGGGACAGGGAAGGTTCACACAGGGGGTGCCATCAACAAGAAATGGAGCAGCTGCCTTCACATAGAGGGTGGTGACCCAACTGGGGTGATTGGGAGAGCCTGTTTTAGGGTGAATATTCAACGAAGGCCTCTCCAAGGAGGAGAATTCAACAAGGTCAAGGTCCGGTCTGAGGGCAGGTGAACAGTTCAGAGACCATCACTTCAGGTCAAATGACCACATATTTATGAGGCAGAAACCAAGACAATTTGTCAAAAAATGGTTTCCTGATATATGCATTTACTTACATGAAAAAATCTTACGAACGTGTAAACATGAAGTTCAAAACATCTTTACTAAGGAAAGCAAAATTGGTCTTCTAGCAAATCCAGGGCAGACGGTCACCATAGTCACAGGCCAGGAGAAGAAGTGCTTGCGAGTGGGCAGTCAGGTGCTCCAGCCAGGCAAGGATGAAGTCAGGGGTGGGACAGAGCTAAGGCCACGTGGGCAGCCGCCACCGCAGGAAGACCAGGCCACCAAAGTAGACCACAGAAAGCACACACCAGCAACAGTGAAGTCAAGCTACCCTGAGCCGAGGCAGCTGCTGCCCAGAGCGAGCACGTGCTTGTGGGACCCCGCGTATGGATGGGGAGCAGCACACTCCGGGCCAGGGCAGCCTGCAGGC